GCAGGCAGATTTCTGAGTTCAAGAGTTCGAGGCTAGCCTGGTCTACAGAGTGAGTTCCAGGACAGCCAGGGCTACACAGAGAAACCCTGTCTTGAAAAAGCCAAAAAAATTAAAAAAATATATAAATTTATTAACTCAGTGAAATAAGGCAGCTTTTTATTTAATTTAAATATAACACTTATGTTGTTATGTTATGTCACATTCTTGGTGCAAAATCTGTGTAGGCTAGCAAGATGGCTCAGTGTCAAACCTGACAACCTGAGTTTTGGGACCCATATAGCAGAAGGAGGGAGTCAACTCCCAAGAGTTGTTCTTTGACCTTCCCATGAGTGCTATAGTACACTTGGGAGCATGTGTGAGTAGTCATGTTTTGTGCACATGACCCCCATGCCCCTCCCCATACACAAATAAGTAAGTATATGTTCATGTATGTGCAGGTATCCCCAGAGGTCAGAGGAATTAGTTACAGAAGGTTATGAGCCATCTGATGCAGAGGCTTGGAATTGATATAAATAAATAGTATATATTTATTTCATATTAATATTACTATTAATATGAAAATAGCATACATTAAAGTATGTGTTTATATATTATGTATAAATAACATTTAAATATTAATTATAATATATATTTTGTATGTAAAATATTAAAATAAACAAGAAAATGGTTACATATTTTAATATTAAATTAAATATTATTTTAATTGTTAAATCAAAACATTAAACATAGATAAGAAAAATACAGATTTTTTTTTAGGCCACATAAAAAATTTACAGAATCAGAAAGTGTTTTATTGTTTGTTTTTGAGAGTACATCAGGCTGGTCTCCCTGTGTCTTATCTAGCCCTCCAAATCTAGGATTACAGGGAGGCAGCACCATGCACAGCAATGTATTTGTTTATCCATGGGACCCACCTTTAGACACATTTAAACTGTAATGTACCCTACTTAGACATGGTAGTCCATTCTGTGATCACAGCATTTGAGAGACTGAGACAGGATGATTGCTTCAAGCTTGAGAGTATCCTGGGCAATAGAGTGAAAGACCATGTTTTAAAAAATGTTTTGGGTTATTGCTTGTGTTTTTTATAGTACTGGGGGTTGAACCCAGGGCTTTGCATAATGTGAGCAAATGATCTACCACTAAACTACATTCTTAGCCAAGAGAGATCTTGTTTCAAAAAATGAGACACACAGACACACACACACACAGACACAGACACACACACATACACACACACACACACACACACAGAGAGAGAGAGAGAGAGAGAGAGAGAGAGAGAGAGAGAGAGAGAGAGAGAGAGAGAGGTCATAAGCACTCTGTTGTTGTACAACCACATAATTAAGAACCACTCTCATCAGCCAGCCAGCAACTCATCAACCACTCCATAGGTGGCAGAAGACTTGTATAAGGAAGTCTTTCTTCTAGCTTGTCTTTTAATTAGAAACAAACAAACAGTTTCTCATGGGTGACCTCCAACTTGCTATATCCCCAACATAGGTCTTGAACTCCTGACTCTCCTGCCATCACCGTCCACATAGTTGGATAACAGGACTGTGCAAACATGCTGAGCTTTTGTTTTGGTTCAGTTTCACTGCATAGCTCAGGCTGGCTTCTGGTATATATTGGTTTGCTTTCTATTGCTGTGATAAACACCATGACCAAAAAAGCAATTTGGGAAAGACTGTTGTGCAAAGCTCAACTGCTGAGGAAAGTCAGGGCAGGAACTCACGTCAAGAACTTGGAGTCAAACTGAAGCAGAGTCCACAGAGGAATACTTCTTACTGCCTCATTTCCCAAGGCTTGCTCAGCCTGCTTTCTTACAGAGTACAAGACCCTCCCACATCAGTCATCAATCAAAATACGTCCCACAGACTTGCCTTCAGGTCAGTCTAATAGAGACGTGTTCTCAGGATTTTTCCTCTTTCAGATAAATCTAGCTTCTGTCAAAGTTGACAAAACATTACCCAGGACAAGGTAGGTGTGGGCTCCACACTTGGCTAAGGCAGTCTTTGTTTTATAAATTATAAAGAACAGAAAGGGCTGTGGCAGAGCTTAGTGGTAGAGCACTTGCTTAGCATACTTGTGGCTAGGTGGAGTCATCAACACTGTAAACATAAAATAAGTGACATACTTCAAAAGGGAACAAATCTACTAATTAGTATATTAGATTGCATTGGATTGATTTTCTTTCCTTTTCTCTTCTCTCATTTTCTCTTCTTTTCTTTTGAGAAAGGGTCTTACAGAATTCAGGCTAGCTTAAAGCACAATACATAGCCTATGTTGGCCTTGAACTAATGATCTTCCTCATTCAGCCTTGTAAGTACTGGGCTTACAGGCGTGATCCACAATGCCTAGTAGATTTTCCATGAGCAGAGCCATGGGGGTGAGTACTGTAGTAAGAATACTTGCTGTACAAGCTTGAGGATCCGATTTTGAATCCCTTGCACCCGCATAGACAACATAGACAGCCAAGAATGGCTGTACAAGTTTGTAACTCCAGCATTACGGGTCAGAGATGGGTAGGTCCTAGGAGCTTACTGACAGCTGTGTTGTTAATGTGAGTTTCCCGCCCCCCCCCCCCCCCAGATTCCTTGGCTTAAGGCAAGAGGAGGGAAATGATAGAGGAAGACGCCTGACGTCCCCCGGTCTCTTGCATGCACTTGCATGGGTGTGCACACATCTATGCACACCTGTGTATGTACTATACTCTCATAAAAACAAATGAATAAATAAACAAACCAGAAACAGTAACTTGTGTTAATTTTTAATAAGTCCTGACATGGGGTTGCGTCCCACTTCAATGGTTTATGTTCCCATGTGTATGAAACACACACACACAGCCTTTATATTTTAATGTGCCTTAAGCAGCACAATAGTTGGGCAGCTGCCTAGCCTTCATCTACCTTCCACAGATAATTCCAGTTTACTACTTATTAATTTCTATGTTCCATCTTGTTTGCTCTAGACCCAGTTGAACAACATTCTGGGCCTCGTCCTCTTGGCCCCCTTACATGGCGGCTCTGCTTCTCTTTCCTGCCTATACATCAGGCATGGCATCTCTCTCCTTTCCTCTTCTTCACATTCTCCTAAGGCATGGTGGATCTCTCCCTCCTCCTTCCTCGAGATCCCAATCATGAGAAACCTAAAACCCTTCCTCTCTTTTCTCCCCAGCTATTGCTTGTGGCATCTTTATTTACCAATCAGAATTAAGTGGAGGTTGTTTCCCAGAAACTTTGTGCAATCTAATTTGGGGGACATAAGCATTAGAATACAAGCAGCTACAGTAACTTTTAAAAGAGTCAATTGCTTTATGCACTGTTTTATACACAGAAACATTCTGCATAATAGTATCACCAAATGAGCATGTTGTATACACTGGTAATCCCAGCACTTAGGAGACTAAATTGATTGCCATGAGTTTAATGAGGCCAGCCTGGGCTACATGAGACCTTGTGGTAGGAATAACTGTTTTGTTTGTTCATTCCTAGGTGTTGCTAGGTCTCTCTGCCTCGTTCCCTCCCTGCTTCTGTCTCTCCATGGCCATATTTTAAATTCACATCTAAGACCCCTTTTTTTATTCAACAGGAGCTGGCGATCTCATCCATCACAGAGGCCCCGATGAATATCTTCGTGGGAAGGACCGCCAGAGAGCCCTGGTTGCAGCTGCCCGCCACCACTTGAAGAAATTTAATCACCAGCACTTTGACACTTTGCTGCTAGCTTTCAGGCACTATGACAAGGCCGGTAGTCTCACAGAGCCTGGGGGTTACAATGCACTGACAATCTTGGTAGATGGCGCAGATGGGGGGCAGGGGCGGGTGATCAGCGAACTGTGGGTCATATGTGGCTCATTACTTGTCCTTTAAAGTGACGTTTGCTTGAAACCCAGCCACGACTGAGAGGTTTAAAGAATGGTCAATGACTACACATAAGCCAAATTGAGTAAATCTCAGTGTTCTGGGAGCAAGGGTAAGTGTAGCTCTGTGGATCTCTGGGGAACAGTGGAACAGTGGACAGTCTTTTTTGTTTTGTTGTGTTTTGTTTGTTTGTTTGTTTGTTTTGCGAGACAGGGTTTCTCTGTGTAGCCCTGGCTGTCCTGGAACTCATTCTGTAGACCAGACTGGCCTGTCCCTGCCTCCCAAGTGCTGGGATTAAAGGCGTGCGCCGTCACTGCCGGGCAGGACAGTCTTATACCTAAATTTTGTTTGATGTCTTCACATTGTACCTTCAGTATACGTCCAACTCATTTATAGAATGCTATTGCTTTGGAAAGCAGGGGCTAGTATCCATTCAAAAGGTGCAAGATCAGTTGGTATTTATTTATTTATTATTTATTTATTATTTATTTAGAGGTAGGGTCTTTTGTAGTCTAGGCAGGCCCCTAGCCCACTGTGTAGCACAGGATAGGAATAAACTTTCTATCCTTTGCTTCTTCCTCCCAAATGCCAGGATTAAAGGCCTGTGCCATCATATCTTGGTTCTTGGATTTTAACTACTGGCTTTGTGTGTACTACCCAAACACTGTCAATTGAGCAATACCTCCACGCCAAGATCAATTAATTTTTAAACTACTATAAATGTAATTTATTTATTTAGTTTTGGTGATGGGGATTGAACCCATGCTTATACATGCTAAGTACACAATGTCCTTTGAGCTGTATCAGTTCCTCAAATGCGCATATTTTTGCCCTCCTTTTCAGGAAGGTCAGAGCCCATTGAACAATTTCAGTGTTGAATTTGTGAATATTTGAACTTTTTCAATTATTATTTTGCTTTGATTTTCCTCTACTCACTTTTGTGCCTCATTGTACACGGTTTTCTAGGCAGTTTAGAAACTATTTAAAGTGTATTTAAAAAGATTATTATTCTTGTAGGATCTAGGGATCACGAACTCAGGTATTAGGTCTGGCATGAGAGTACCTTTACCCACAGATCTCTTTGGATAGAACTACCAACCATTTTAGAGTGAGTTCAGGATGCATGCTGATACAGAGTATCACAGTCGTTTTAAATTATGAATTTAGCTTTTATTCAAAATTAAATAAGCAAAAATTTAAAGAACATTTGTATATACTTTCAACATAAAAAGAAGTTAATAGAGATAGTCACAAGTCTGCAATAAATAATTATAGAAGAATCTAGGGTAGCATGAGTATAAACCATAACACAGCATATTCTGAGATATGAATAAGGTGAAACTAAGACTTTTATCAAGACCACAAGGGAAAAACAAAATAAACCTTAAAGGCCTTTAGAAAACTTTAAAAATCTTAGTTGTGGTTGTGCATTAATCTTCTCTTCTCCAGATACTTAATGTACTGTACAATTTCCTAAGTACATATATCTTGTCAATCTATAAGATACCAAGTATGTGTGTGTGTGTGTGTGTGTGTGTGTATGTGTGTGTATGTCTGTGTGTCTGTCTGTGTGTGTGTCTCTCTCTCTCTCTCTGTGTGTGTGAGTGAGTGAGAGAAAAAGAGAGAGAGAGAGAGAGAGAGAGAGAGAGAGAGAGAGAGAGACACAGACAGACAGACAGACAGAGACAGACAGACTCTCACTGTACCTCTCAGATTGACTTTGAATCCTGAGTCTTCTAACCTCCCAAGCAGGTGGCAACACATCTGCTTTGCATCTGTGTCCATTCCATTCTCTTTTTCTACCCCTCCTTCTTTCCCTCCCCCTTCTTCCCACCCCTCTCAGTACTGGGCTCTACTATTGAGTTCCACCTTTATCACAGAAATCAGTCTTTATGTGACAGGGAGAGAGAGAGAGAGAGAGAGAGAGAGAGAGAGAGAGAGAGAGAGAG